TTCAGTCTGGTAGGGGATCATCAAAGTGTTGTTTTCCATGTCAACTGCTAATTCTGCTTGCAGCATGCAAAGAAAAATAGAAAATTCACAAAGACCAATTCAGGATCCATAGGAATTTAGTGATGTGGCCATTCAGGGTTGCTCTTAGTGCACAAATGAACTCGTGGTCATGCAGAGCCACTGCTCACTGTGAAAGAAAACTTTGCAGTTGCAGAGTTCAAATACACTTGGAGATAGTTTACTAATCCCCCCTTTTATCATCTCAGCAGCTTAAAACAGAAGAACAGCCCTTGAAGTGAGCCCCTAGTTACAAAAAACGTAGGGAGTCATACCAGTGTCATGAGAAGGCCATGTCCCACTACTAGGACTTTCTGTAGAAGAGTCAAAAGCAAAGCTCCTTCCAAGATGCTGTCCCAGCTTCTGCTTGCTGATCATTTCACTGTCATGCAGGAAAGAGCAGGTTAGGAAAGGCCATGGACTCTAAAGTCAACCCTTTCTGGAAGACACTCTGCAGAACCAGGAAAATTAGATGCCCTGAGCTGCAATCCTAGCTGATTTCTTGATTCTTTGCTGCTTCGATAAATCATTTATTAGAACAGCCTTTTTACATAATCCCTGGGGGAGAGAAAAAAAAAAAAAAACATAAAATAGATTTATCACAAAACCCTGTCCTCCTACCAACCATCTTCAGACCAGGACATATATTTCTCTGATTATTAATTAACTGATGCACAGTAACAGCTTCAAGCCTTTTAACCTCTCCCTTTCTCTTTTGTCCTTCAAGAGTATAGATGACAATGCAGGTATGCTGTTCAAAACACAGAAAACTTCTTGAGCAGCTGAAGTAATAGCACCATGCTTTGAGCTCTATAGCCATGAATGCAAACATTAAAGCCATGCAGAAAACATGTAGCTTAAAAGCTTAATAGCTGTTCTTCCAGGACACATTCTTAGACATACCTGTTTAAATCCGGTCTAGCGCCACTAGTATTGAAGGTGTTGACCTGGTTAGTTGTCAACAGTAAATGTAACAAAAAATCTGCCTGTGCTGACAGTTATTTAATCCACTAGCAGATATTTAAACTGAAAAGAGAAAAGAATCCGATATTGTCAGCACTGGTTGTCTGTCTATCTGACTATCATTGTGACATCTCAACTCTCAGGATAAGCCATAGCTTTTCTTCTTTTTGGAGTCCTGGAGTCCATCCTTTGGAGTACCTTCAAAATATGAAATACAACTGCACATAAATAACAGGAAAGGGGAGAGCTGAGTGCAGCAACAACTTCTGAGCCTATCAAGCCTTCTGAAACTACAATAGGCAAATGAAGCTAGAGACAACAGCTGCGCTTTCCCTAGAATGTGTTCCCAAGGAAAATGCACAGTTATTGGCCTCCTCCTCCACTATCCCCAGCAACCCTGGCCCTTCTGCCCTTGGCTGTTAGCTAGTAAAAAGTTTCACATTGCAGCAGTGAAGATCAGGAAAACTAAGGAGAAAATAAATAAACAAATAAACCAAACAGTCCAAATCTGCAGGCAACTGATATACCAATAGCAACAGGGTGCAACTCCCAGCTTCATTATCCTGTGGTCTAAATGAAATATAGTGAGCAAATGCACTTTTGATCTCTTTTATTAGTCCCATTTGTTAAAATGCTGTATTATTTACAGCTTTGCACAGAGTGAAGAAATGGAATTAGAATTCCATCTTAAGACACAAGTGATGATAAGAACTAGTTTAGCTCTGGGAGCTTGTCTAAAGGAAGGATTCTTGTATTGGTATAACAGCAATCCAGTACCAGGGCTTTTCGTCTGATGAAAGGTCTAATCCCTGTAAAAGTGGACTGACAGTAGACTTTCCATCAACACTACCAGTATATCTGGTGAGGTTTTCATGTATTAAGAATCTGAGTCAGCAACACCACTTCAGGGAGTGAGTTACCCAGGCAGTAGCCACTTAATTAGCTGGAGATGTGAGTCCCAACAGCGGAACCAGATAAATCCTGTGCTATAGGTACCTTGGTTTAAAGAAGGCTTGTAGCTTCATCGCAGTCAGCACTGATCTCTGTTATTACTAGGTGAGTCTTTTGGGCGCAGCTAGGCACATACCAAAGGAAAAGAGAAATTGAGTCCTAATCTCTGCTGACTATTGGCTAGACCTCTGCTGATTAGTTCGGGATCCCAGTATGATTTGCTCACGAGCAGATGTAGATACACCCATGACGTGCACTTGGGCAGTAGTGGTACACTGGCACGGGATCAGTTAAAGAGTAGAAATTAAAGTTCAGAGGCAAACTAGATTCTTTAAAGTCCTAATGTAAGTAATTATCCAGTCTCAGCCAACCCAGCTTTGATGCTTGGTAGCTGTGCCCATATAAGTAAAATAAAAATACCTGCTGTTTTTTCTCTTGCACTGAGGCCAGTTGGCAAAGAATGGCCTACACCCAAACTATTAAATTTCTTTACTTCTCAGAATATTGTGGCCATGTCCAAGCTAACTACTGAAAATAACCCCTGTCCTGTGCTAATACTCTGATTGTGCCCAGGAACTGTTTGGAGCTAGGCACAAACCAAAACTATGTCAAGGACCTCTCTAAAAACTTAATGGTATAGATAATTGGACTGCAGTGCGGTGAACTTTCCCTGGCTCTGTTAATTTACTGATATAGATGTAGCTGATATGTCTTAGGCAGGAGTATTAGCAATCCAGAGGTGATTTTAAAAAGAACAGCCTTTCACTATGGTCTATATTCAAACATGTGAGGTAGCTAGACAGCAAATTTAAAGTTCAGACTCAAGCCAAGCCCTTCCAGTGATGCTTCTGGCAGCACTTAAAGACTGAACCAACTCAGGCAAGATCAGTAGGTGCTTTGTTTGTTCCATTGCTGAGATCAAGCACAGGACCTTGTTGACTGATATATTATTCAACTAGTCAGACGTAAATTGGGAACATTACCTGATGCTTACTGGCTAATAAGAGATTGCAAAAGCAGGTCCATTGCTATTTAATAACACCCTAGATCATTACTCACCATTACTCTCCGGTTTTCTGTCCAGTGATTGATGACTCCTGTGAGTCTTGAGCAACTCGTTTGCTCACATCCTCAGAGGTGCAATGCTCACATCTTCATCCAGGTGGCTGGCAGGATAACTCCACAGAGAGTTAATTACTTGAAATTTCAGCTGCAAGAGGAGAGGAAGAAGAGGGACGCTTGGTTATTCTATAGATCTCTCTCTTGAAACTGCACCTGCCACATACATTAAAGCATGTTGTTTCACCTTTGCTAAGATTTTCGGTTTTTTGAGCTCTCATAAACCTATGTTATTAGCCAAAGGCAGGGAGTACAGCTTTTAGGCAGGAGTGAGAAGGTGTGTTTGTGTATATAAGTGTATGCATGTGTATGTGTGTCTTTTTGAAATGCAATCTGTCATGTATCATTGTGAGACTTGCTTTCCAGGAGGAACTAGACCAGAGAGGAGGTGTTTCTGAATGCAGTCACGGTACAGCAGCCCAGGGCTGTAAACCATGTCCTGTGCCGTTGTCAGGAACAGGTGTACCACTGTCAGCAAATGTTCAGAATTAGCTTTTTGAGGGGCTGCCTCAAACTGCCTCTTCATTTCTGCCTCTTTATCAGGAGACATCAGGTTCCAGGGGATGATTTGTGCTGCCAGAGCTTTGCAGGGTTAGGAGAACAGATGGCTTTGTCTGGAGTGCAGGCTGGTCCAGGCTAGTCTTACCTGGGGCTCATGCTCAGAGATGCTTTTGGCACATGAGGACATTTCTGGCAAAGGTAGCAGAAGTGCTTCTTATACAAGGTGTTGGCCCCCTGCCTCACATATGTCTCAATCCCACAGTCACTGCAGCTAAAGGCATATACAGGCTGGCCAAGGGAGTTCCTAGAGCTAGCACAGAAACAAACAAACGAAACAAACAAACAAACAAAAAAGCTCCAAAACTCCCCAAAGCTGAATGAGTTAGATGCATTGACCCCTGCTTGAATCTGACCTGGGTTGGCTTTTCTGTTCCCCCAGATGGCAACTCTTCTATTGAGAAAAAAAACAGCATCTTAGGTAGCTGTAGGTACACTATTCAATCACTAAGGGTGTTTTTGTTGCCGGATTCTCTCCATGGCTGATTGGTTGATGTACTGGCAAGTTGTGAAACTACTTATGGAAACCATGTTAGGAAAGCACTACAGTTAATCTTTCTCAACTGCAGAGTCAACATAAAGAAAACAAATCTGCAGTAATTGCCAGTTAATAAAACGCCTTCTATGGCTTAAGTGGCCAAAAATCAAACTATCCATGACAATGAATATCATAACGGAGAACTTATTAAATTCATGTCTTACTTATATTGCCATAATGAGGAAGTAGCAGTAGGTATATAGGTACCCGTCTTTGTGAATATTGGAAGGCAAAGAAAAGGTTATGTTGGTAAGTGAAGGGCATAGAAAGAGCTACTCCAGTCGTAGCAGAGGGGAAGAGAACAAGATAGAGAACAAGTGCCTGGAAACCATGCATCACATCTGCTGACAGCCAGAGCAAAGGTTACCCCAGTCTTGTGAGTGCTGGTACTGTGGCACTAGCATGTGGGTCCCCAGGCCTCACGGTGTTGTGTCTGAAATAGCACACCATGCCTGGCACCCCACGCACAGCGTCCTCCAATCTGTAACAGCCCCCTCCTACCCTCCGTCCCCCATTGGCAACCATCCTCTCCTCATTTTTCTCCCCGCCTGCCCGCCCACCCACCTACCTGCTCACTCCCTCCCTACTGCCACCCTTTCCCCATGTTCATTCTCAGTGGTCGTTGCATGTACGTGCCTTGGCTCCCTTCAGCTCATTAAGCCTGCTGCGTTGCCTCATGTTTTGACAGGTTTTGTGAGTTTTGACAATCCTGCCAGTGCCCAAGCTGCCATCCAGGCTATGAATGGCTTCCAGATTGGCATGAAGAGGCTGAAGGTGCAGCTCAAGAGGCCAAAGGATGCTAATCGTCCCTACTGAAGAGTTGTGGAAACCAATGGATACGAAGCACTAGCACAGGTAACTTCATGGGTCAGGGGATGTCAGCTGTGGTCTTAGCCTCTCTTTGTGTTGTAGACTCTTGAAAAGACTCAACTCTGTGATCCTCTAGCTTCTGCCTTTTTCACTTAGGCCTCTGACTAGAGCCACACCATACAGACACACACCCACACATAAACCAGGAACTGTTTGTGTGTGCACCTGCTTAGAAGGAAAGGTGGAAGGATGCTTAATGAGGGATTGAGCCTAGCTCCCCACCCTTATGGCATCCCTCATCTCTAAAAAGTCTTCCTGGTCACTAGAGGGGAGTTGACAGTTGTCCTGATTCCCCTTGCTCAGCCAAAGAGAGTGTTTTTGTTGACTGAAGAAAATCTGTAATTAAGAAATGGGACTGGGCTGCAGTTTAATCCCAGGTGATTGGGCTGGGACAGTGTCTGTCTCAATAGCTCTGTGTTGCAAACGTTTCAAAGCATTCTTCATTCTTCATGCAGTGTAGTCTGTATCCAGTTTCATTCCAGCATAATAACTATGTCTGAATACATCTCCCTGACAATTAAATGCCCCCCAATTTCTTCTTTTCCTAAACCCAAGAAAATAATTAAAAGATACATGCTCACATCTTGCTAGGTTACCCTTAATTCCTGTGTGTAGATAAAACTCAGCCAAAACTAAGCAAGCTTTGCTTGAATGAGGACCTAGAATATTTGAATGAGGATCTCATTTTTAGACTCACTTTGTGGTGGTGTTGAAAAGGGGATAGCTTGGTTTTACATGGCAACTTCTAATGCATGTAACAGTACCAAAAATATCAGAAAAACAAGCTAGCATCACTGGATTCTCAGGCTATTCCCAATGACAAAAATGGAGAATAGATACTGAATGACGTAGTCAAAAGTGCCTTTATGTCTTCAGAGTCCAAGCCCCATTTTTAAAGCAATAAGCACCTAAAACTTACTGGTTTTGCAAATATTTAGGGGGATCAGGATCCTTGTTGCCATGGAATTTCCATGTCTCACTGTACAGTATAGCAGAAACCATAGATGTCTAAGATGAAGTTGATGGCAGTGGTCTGTGCTATGTAAACACACCAGCTTGCCTGGCATTAAGTAGGACATTCTCTGGACTGCACTGTACTGTGTCATGAATATGGTGGACTTTTCATGATGGTGCTTCAGATTTTAACAATTTTAAAGAGTCACTTTTGAACAATATGACATTATCACATGCCATGACAAAAAGACATGAACCATCAATGACTTTGATCGAGGCCTTACTGACCCAGCTGAGATTTGGGCAGGATGTCCCCATCTTCAACTTTTCAAAAGAACTGCATAGTGTTCTAACTTTTAATTTATGTACATAACTTACTTTAAAATACTTTGTTAGAGCCTTCAGAGCAGTATCCATTCCACTGAGAATTAAGGATTGGTATCAAAATGGTTGGGAAAGAGATACTGCACTGAAGATGGTATGAGGTGGATCAACAAACTTTTCAGTAAACATTAGATACATGTGCTAATTTCACAGTGGGTTTTAGAAACTCTGTGGCAGTGAAGATTCAAGATACAGCCTCCATAGTTCAGTATCTCCCTTATACATGGCTATGCAAAGATAACTATCAACATGTTTTCCCTCTTCAAATACCTCTTTTCTTTTCCTTGCTTATGTCAAGGCCTCTTGGAAGCTTGAAACCAAGATGTGTTTCCATATCCAAATGCTTTTTGCTTCATCACACTGGCTTGTTACTGCAGGTTTTGCTCAGAAGTGCTGGGGCAGAGTGCGAGATGCATGCATGCTATTTTGTTAATGCAGGGACTGCCTTTGATGGAGAGGTTTTCAATAACAACTGCAGAGTGACTAAGGAACACAGTTCTATCCAGTTTTGGAAATCTCTCCCTTGTTTGCTAGTGCCAAGTAATGGGCTTCTACTGTGGTGCAGTTGTGATTGCAGAATCTGTGCTTGATTCTTTCTGTAGCATAAGAAAGTGCTGGGCTGTAGGCTCTTGTGTGCTGTTAGAGATTTCCTACAAGCCGTCCAGAGTGTTTTTCCTGTCTTGGTTCTTTATGAAGCACTCTACCTGTCATCACCAGGCTGACCTTGAGGTTTGAGCCCTTTTCTTATAAAAAGGTCACTCGATAGTAGGCTAGGGCTTCCTCCTCACTCAAAATAAATTATACAGAAAGAAATCAGCTGTAAAACAGCAATAAATTGTAAATCTCTCTCTGAGCACTTCTTTCCTCTGCTCGTGCAAAGCAGGAGAACCGTCTTCACTAGCTGCCTCTATCTGAGAAACCCTTTCGTTTTCTTGACTTTCACTTTGATTCTAATTCTCAGCTTCCCATCAAAATCAGCTCAGCTGATACCACCAGATCAGTTCCACCCTTTGCTTATAGTTATATACATATAGGCAATCCCTAATAAATTGAAGGGATTCCAGATCAAAGGTCCTTGTTGAATTCTACCTCAGTGAAGCTGCTGGAAGAGCCAAAGACCTTCTGTCTTTTAGCAAGAGAAAGATCTGGAAGAAGCTTTGTGAGTGTTGCCTTTTCCCCTAACAAAAGGGATTAGCCAAGTGCAGGTCATAGCCCAGGGGTGACAGCAAAAGAGAGTATCACAAGGAGGGACCTGATTTAGCAAAGAACTTTGCCAGGTTAGAGAGGGTGGTGCCAATTTAGTGAGGAGAGGATGGTTGGAAGTGGCAAGGGAGAGTCAAAAGCTCAAAAACTCAAAACATCAGAAACTCTTCAACTTATCTGTTTTCCAGTGCTAGGAACCCTCTGTACAAATACTTTACAAACAGATGCAGGAGTTTTAGTCATGCTCTGTTAAGGACTGCCAGGGTTGTGCAACAGCAGTCAGCATAGGGCTGAGCCTTCACTAGTAAACATTGCTTAGGTCAGTTGTCTTTAGCTCAGTGCTGTGTACCCCCATGGGTGGTTTGATGTGCAGCCTCCACTCTGCCTCCAAAATACCTCTGGAAGTCTGTGATTGGTCCAGTTGGTAGACAGCATCATTGCTACAATGAAAAGTTTCCTAAAAACACTAGGATTAAAGCCAGCTGGGCCCCATGGTACCACACAGAGAGCTATTGCAAAGCTTGAGAGCTCCCTTAGCTGGCAGAAACACAATAACCCCTGTATGTTTTTTATCTTCTTTTAGTTTGGTTGCAGTTCTTCAGGGTACTTATCTCAATTCCGATTTGAAGCGTGTGCGTAGCCATATTGACATCAGGGCAATTAATCATGTGCTTCAAGAGTATGCTTGAGAAACTTTTTAATTGGGATTTTTCTAAGCAAGAGCTTTGTTTTATCAAATTCCTTTCCAAAAATAAGAAGCTGCCAGCAAACACACAGGCAGCACCCAGTTTGATATAAGCCACCAGAGTGTTTCCCAACCAAGCAGGAAAGATCGTCACTCAATTTTAATCATGAAGGCACTTTTTTATTATTATTATTTAATTTATAAATCTCCCTTTTGGGATACAAGCAGCCTAGGCCATAGTGATCCAAAGTCCTTTTGTTTTCCTTGGAAGTACTCTACAGTTGCTGTCAAACACCAGAAGGGTCTCTGTGATGGGGCAGATAAGCCCACAAGCTGTGGCAAGCAAAGCCCTGAAGAATTCACACCGTAAAACGCTGCCAAAATGCTGGTTCTGTTCTCTCTTTTTCTTTCTAATTACAGAGGTGGTTGTAGCAAAAGGCAAGGAGAGAGGGTGGGTAGGGGGGAATAAAAGGAAAGAAAGAGAGGAGGATCATTTGAGGCAACTCTGCCAAAATCAATATATTCTATTACAAATCCCCCCTCAGGACTGGGAGGCCAGGATTCGGAGGCACTTATTGTGTCTTTCAGATAGCAAATGCATGAAATAATGAAAAAGAAGTAAGTGCTGAAACCCACAGCTCACTTGAGTGGCCACTCTTCAGAGCTGTCACATGCGGTGTGATGTGACGAGCTGGATGTGCGCCCTGCCATGCCTTGGGGTGCACGGGGGAGCCCTTTGTGCAGGCAACCCTGACGTCCCACTGGGACCAACCACAGAGTGAACTCCTCCTCCTCCTACCATGTGGAGATGTGTCTGCATGCTCCCAGCCCCTCAAACAGGGTCTAGCAGCTAGTTCCCAATTGTCTTATCCATAGTAAGTAAGAATCATAAATACAGCAATATTGCCTAGAACTACCATAATTCGCAGCTTGCTGGTATTTAGGACCTAGCAGAGCAACACAGAAGAATTCAGTTGATTTATCACCAAAAGACATTGAACGGAAGAATAGTGCGGATCCTGTCCATTCCCTTTCGGCGGATTCATTTTAGTGACTGATCATTAGCCAAGCAGTCTTCACCTCCTCGGGGATGCTGCTCTTGAAGTTTTATTTAAAGCTTGAGATGGAGGGAGGCGTTTGGATCAAAGCAATCAGGAGCGCTGGGATGGGACTGAGTGAGACAAAGTGAGTGTGAGAGAGGTGAACTGAGTGAGGCAAAGTGAGGCAGAATAGGGGAAAAAATGGCCAATAGTAAGTTTTATTAAATATTTCTTCAGCTGTGCTGTAGTCTTCCAAGGAGAGTAGTGGCAAAGCATTAAAAGACATCATGTCCAGGCAACCAGCTTCACTAAAATATCAGGGGAAATAACAGCATTCGAAGTCTGAGTACAGACAAAAGATGTTCAGATCCTCCTTCCCAGCACCTCAAACGTGCTGATGTGTGATTTATTGTAGCTTGTTATTGCAGCTGACTGAAAAAGTGTTTTTTTCAGATAGGAAATGTCATTTTTTCCATTGGAATATACTGGTTACCAAACTGGAAAATGTTGCATTTTTCTCATTTTCTGCTCCCTGATAAGAGTAGAAAAAGAAAAGAAAAAAAAAAATCTGTTTTTGAACTAAGCAGGTGTTATCAGCCAAAATACAAAAAAAAAAAATCCAAATGCCCATGATCAGCAATGTTGAGGGAATATTTTTTGGCTGTCTCTTCTGTCATTTCATATCATTTCAATGTAAAGCAAAATGAAAGTCTATTTTT